ATCCCTCCCATCAACACCTTCTCTTTCTCACAGCCAGAGAAAGTCTTGTCGAGTATCAGACCGATCCTCATCAATTTGATTCAACCTTACCACATGAGTTTAATAATTCGCTACAGCCTCTGAGTTTGCAGCTAAAACTTGGACAGTCTCTTTAGAGCTCTTATTTGTTGCACTCGCAGCTAGAGTTGCAACAGGAACAAGGTATAGTCCTTGTACGTTTACTGATTCGTTTTAGAGCCTCTTCTAGGATCCCTTTCCCAATTACTTCCCTTCCTGTGAATTTTATAGTTCGCTACTGCCCTCTATGCTACTAGTAGAGAAATTTCTTTATCTTTCCAAACTTAGGAGGCTTTAGTCACTGCACGGAGGTGCCCCAACTAGACTCACTAGAATCATCCTTCAGATTCCGTGTCTGTTAGCACATACCACACCTAGGTTTTGTGTTTCCACCCACAGGAGTCTATAGGTTCATCAACAGACTACATATTTGATTTTTCTTGTCTTTTTCATTTGATATGCACAGTCTCACATCTCAGCTTTTTACCAACACACTGAGATGTGAGTACCTCTATGTATATTCATCCTAGTATCATGCTTATCATATTGTAATAACACTATGTTGTTCTATTCAGGTACCTAATACAAGCTTTTTACCAACACACTGAGATTAACACTATGTTGTTCTATTCAGCATTGCTCACTCTTTTTTTCTCAAGCCTGCCTTCTGTTACCACATCTAAGCTATCTACCTTGTAACTCCAAGAGATTATGGGCTCCACTACCAGCATGTCAATGACAACTGCCATAAAGCCAGTCAGCACAATAAAGCTCACAGATGATGGATCAAACTGGGTAGTGTTTGAAGAAAAACTTATCAACAAGTTTCTGGACAAGGGTCTAGGCCAATGCTTGTGTACCCTCTCACCCAGTTGAGCACAAGGGAAAATTCTACCAGTCTACTGACACTGCATTTTTGCACCCTCTCTCAGATGATGACCTGGAGAAGCTGGAGGATGAGCTTGAAGAGTATGAGCAGAAAGAGGCAAAGATGCACACCATCATTTATGTGTCCATCTCTGACTCTACCTTCAATGAGATCAAGAACAAAACAACAGCTGCTCTTGTCTGGAAAAAGCTCATTACTGTCATGACTGGCAAGGGTGATCTTATATATAAATACCTCCTTACTTGGCCCAGCAACATATCCTGCCCTGATAAAGGTAACATGTGAGAGCACCTTGGCAAGATGAAGATCCTCCATGAATGTATTGAGGACATGAGCCTGAAAATCAAAGACAATCAGTACACCTCAATGATTCAAAAATCGCTCCCACCTTCCTATGACCACATCTGCAGCATCCTCTCTGCTGCCAGCAAATTTACTGGAAAGCCCCTCATATTGGACATTTTTGTTGTGGCACTGCAAGAAGAATGGGATGAAGAAGTAGTATCAAAGGCCACAGCTGAGAATGTGGCAATGTCTGCACAATGACAGAACAAAGGGAAAGGTCAGGGCTCCAGGGAGAAGTTGAAAAAAAGCCAGACAGATCCCACCTTAAATGCACAAACCCAGCATGTGGTAAAACTGGCCATCTCATTGTGGACTGTTGGTGTGAGAGTGGTGGAAAGGTGAGTCAGGGCTCAGCTTCGAAAAAGAACAAGGCTAAAGAAAAAAAAAAGATAAAGGAGTCAGCATCAGCAGCCATTGACGAAAGTGATGATGAGCATGTCATCATGATTGTAGCTGATGACAACAATGACTTAAATGTGGCCTTAATATGCACATCAGACTACAAGGCTAAGGGCAATGCTCATGTAGCAAGAGGAGAAGAAGTTACAGCAATAGCTGATTGTGGAGCTTTGAAAATGTACTCACCTGAATGTTGAAGATTCAAAAATTATGCCAATATTGACCCAAAGCCCATCAAAGCTGCAAATAGAGAAGTCTTCTATGCAGTAGGTAAAGAGGACCTTCAATTACCATTATCTATAGGTGAAGGTCAGAAGCCCACCATTGCAAGATTTCAGAATGCATACCATGCACCAAAAATGGCATACACCCTCATATCCCTATCACACATCAGCCATGCTGGATTTTCCATCCACATTGAACCCACCAACTGTACCATGTATATCCACACACCATGACCTGATGCTAAGGTCATAGCTAAAATCCCCAAAGCTGGAAGCTTATACATCATCTCAACCCCAGGTATACACCAGACCACGGGAGCAAAACCAGATGTTACTATAGTGGCAGGTAAGCTCAAAGTGAACATCACCAAGCTACACAATATCTGTGCTCACTGAAGCCACACCACCCTCTACCACATGTATATCAATGGCCATATTGAGGGAATTGAGCTTGACCTGGACTCCAAACCAGAATTTTGCAAGACCTATATGAAGACCAAAGCAAAACACAAACTGTTTCCCAAATAAGGCCAATCACTGCTGTGGTGCATTAGTATTTTAGAGGAGTCAAATACTTTGAAGGATTTGGCATCAAATTTAGTGGGTAAATCCCTGGCACCAAAACCAGCACCAAAAAACAGCAAGTTTTAGATTGGTATTTGATATTGGTTTTGGCATCAGATTTGTATGTTAAATAGGAATACAAAAACACATGGTATTTTGATGCGGATTTGGTCTTGGGGATTTGTATGGGAAAAATATTATATAGATTTGACTCAGGGATTTGGGTTCTAAATCCAGAAGGGTAAATCCGCTCTCAAAAACAAGTGTATTTCAAATAGTATTTTTAGAACAAAGCTGGATGTAAATCCCAAACTAAAAACAGGTACAAAAACAAAGGGTATTTGTTCCGGGATTTGGAGCCCAAATCCTCATTAGCTAGGCAGCAGATTATCCCAGATTTAGGCTCCAAATCCCAGAACAAATACCCTTTGTTTTTGTGCCTGTTTTTGGTTCGGGATTTACATCCAGCTTTGTTCTAAAAATACTATTTGAAATACACTTGTTTTTGAGAGTGGATTTACCCTTCTAGATTTAGAACCCAAATCTCTGAGTCAAATCTATATAATATTTTTCCCATACAAATCCCCAAGACCAAATCCGCATCAAAATACCATGTGTTTTTGTATTCCTATTTAACATACAAATCTGATGCCAAAACCAACATCAAATACCAATCCAAAACTTGCTGTTTTTTGGTGCCAGTTTTGGTGCCAGAGATTTACCTGCTAAATCTGGTGCCAAATCCTTCAAAGTATTTGACCCCCCTAAAATACCAATGCACCACAGCAGTGAATATGAGTACATTGAGAATGCCATTCCAATGGGTACCTGATGGACACAATGAGAGCATTCTTGATCAGTTCAGGATTACCAAAGTATCTATGGGCTGAGGCTCACTGGCATGCTGAATGAGTCTACAACCTCACTCCAACAAAAGCAATACCATCAGGGAAAACCCCATTATCATAGTACTCATATTTATTGTCATTGGTACAGGTTTCTCTAGTTGAGGTTCAGGTAAGTAAGAGTAAAATGAATAGCTAAGAGAACAAATATAAACCTTCTCAGTGCACAGATAAGAGTAAGTGACTGAAGAGAAGGAAAGAAGAAAATGTTATATATAAGAGTCCATTGATATTACATGTACTAAATCATGTGATCTCTCTGCAGAACATACTAATGTCCATTGAATAAGATATCACCTTCTAACACACCCCCATTTGATGGACTCACTCAATGCTTTACCAATCTCAAAAATAAACAGTGTTTCACATGGAGAGGTGGCACCAAGGGTTCTGTTAGGATGTTGGTGGTCATTTCTAGAGTTGGTATCCAATGTGTCTGAAATTTGTCAGTTTGCAGATGTTCTCAAATAAAGTGATACCAAATATCAATGTGTTTCATGCAAGCCATAGAGCTGTAAGATGATGTGACTTCAAGCAAAGCTTGGTTATCTGATCCAATGGGGAAAGGTCAGAGTATAGGAAGGCTTTGGAGTCATGGGAACATTTGAATCCAGAGAAGCTCTTTTAGGACATGAGTAAGTCCCATGTATTTGGATTCAGTGGATGAGAGGGAGATGGATTTCTGTTTAACACTCACCCAAGAGACTAAGCCATCATACAGAAAGACATCATATCCAGTGATGCTCTTTCTATTGCATTCATCTGAAGCCCAGTCCACATCTATGAGTGCCAGGTTTGATCATACTATCACATCCGGTCTAACCTTCTCTTTGGCATATACATCTCCATACTTGATAGTTCAGTCCAATGTTGCATTTAGGTACCATAACACACTCTTTGCTGCAGTCAATAAAGCTCTAGTCAGTCATGCATTGTACTGGCCTAATGCCATAGCAGTGAATGCAAGATTGGGACATGTGGTGACAGCAAGATAGATAAATGATCCAGTGAGACTGATACAATAGCTGAATATCTGCATTGGCAACATCGAGTAGTGTGTTTTCTGGTGCAGGTGGCAGTTTGCCAAGTCTAATGTGTAGGGGAACAATGGATTGTGTATACTGCAACATATTGTTGGATGCAAGGAGGTTGTGGACACTGCTTCTGAGAAAGCCAGAGCTTTCGAGCTGTCCTGTTTTGCTCAATATGTATCCTCAAGAATAATGGTGCCACACCAAGATCTTTTAGTGAGAATTGTTGATTGAGCTCAGTGACCAGCCATTTGTAAAGTGCTGGATAGTTTATTATTGACAGACCATTATTGACATGCACAGGAATTATAATATAGATGTCAGAGCCATCAGAGGGCATGGGTATCATAGGGTGAGGGGAAGATTTTGACCACTAAGCAGTGAATACAGCTTTGTCAACTGGACATGATGACAGTCCCAGACTGCATAGAACAGAAGAGAATTCTTTGAACCATTCATAAGAGGATTGTTTGGGGCCATATATTGCTTTTCGTAGTTTCTGGAAAGCTTTTGGATCATCAAGTGGAAAATCAGACACCTGTCAAATGTAGACTTTCTGAGTGAGTGGAGCATTGAGAAAGGCCGTTTAAACATTGAATGTGTATAACTCCAGATCTTCCTTGGCAGCATAAGTGAGAATAATGCATATACTTGTCATTTTGGCAACCAGAGCATATATATTATCACAGTCATCAGGATGTTGGGTGTGTCCCTGCACAACGATTCAAGCCTTAGCCACTTTTTCCACATCAGTATCTTTCCATATGAAGACCTACTGCAGCCTCACCACCTTGTAGTTTTTCAGCAATACTGTCACCGGTACAGGATCAAACACTCCCTTCTCTGCCATCAATGTCTGCTCAGTTTCCATTGCAACAATCCACTGCTCACTATCTGGTCTTGCTATTGCTTCTTGATAAGTTATTGGTGGTTTGGCTAGATCCCAGGTCTTGGGTACTAATGAATGATAAGGTAGGTGTTGCATCAGAAAAACTGTTGGATTTGAAGTAACCACTAATGAGTCTAGAGAATTCAGTGAGAAATAGTCACCAGGAGGATTTAATTCATGTGCTACTAGGAGTGCAGAAGCATCTAAAGCCGCTTTCACTGCTCTAGTTTGACACTGTGGTATTATGTGTTGTTCATTCACCTCAAGTTGATCCTGCCATGCCGCACCCTTTTCTGTTACTTTCTTCTCCCTAGATGGTCAGTGACATTCTTCATCATCTTGATTTTGCTGAGTGTCATCTGCCAAAGCTTCATCCAGAGTTACCTCATCCACAATCTGTTCTGACATTCTCTTCTTGGAGCTTAGTTTGCCTGGTATGTCCTCATCAAATTCAATGTCCCTTGAGAAATGATACTTTCCCTTTAGATCCTGAACCCACCATCTGATTCAATCCTCTTCATACCTGACAAAAATCCCCTCAAACATCTTAATGCCTTCTTTGACATGTTTTTCTTTCAGTATGATGACCCAACAACAGCACCCCTTGCTTATGAAGATATTTTCTCATCTCCTCTTCAGTCAATTCTGGCACATTGTCTGAACATATAAACATTATAGGTTGACCAGAAATCTTTTTCCACTTGGCTACAGTGTCCTCAAAGTGATGGAAGGCTTCATTCTTCCTCTTCAGCATGTGTAATTCTGCTGCAGAAATCTTGTCTTTGAGCATTGTGAAGAAATATCATGAACCCTGGAGTGAAGCTGTGGGGAAGGGATCACAAGTATCAACATGTACAAGATCACATACATTTTCAGCATAAGAGCCATTGTTATCGAATGGTTTTTGTGGATGCTTCCCTATTAGACATGAAGGACAGATCAGTTTGGTATTTGGGCCATGCAAAATGACACCAGTCACTGCTGTTCCATTGATCACCTCTGTTATAAGATCTTGTCCAGAGTGACCCAGTCAACAGTGCCAAACATGACATGTGGATTTTGTCCGTCAAAATGGAGTTGGCATAGTCATGGTGCAAAATGGCTGATCAGAGAAAGACAAGGAGGTAGCTAGAGATTCCAAAATCTCAGAGTTCAGGAAGGAGAGACAACCAGCAACCTTAGCTGAGAATTTCAATCCACCAAACTTCAGATGGTCTTTAGGAAAATGTATGGTTGTCCAGTTTTTACTGAACAACAGAAACATGTTTTGCTCTGTCAGCACTCCCACTGCAATAAGATCCATAAGTACTGTAGGAGTGTGAAGGCAGTCAAGGAGATAGATCATGATCTGTGCACCATTAACACAGTGGACATGAATATGTATCCCCCCATGAGCTTCAGTGCTGAGGACACCACAGTTTACAGTTTTGACATTCACAGTACAATCAGTGTGATAAGACCAGAAGAACTTCTTCTCCTTGAAAATATATGCAGCGCATCCTGAGTCCAATAGATTCTTCACTGCCTGAGCCAGTAATACGTATGCCAACTCATGCATGACATCCAGATACTATGTTGATGCTGGATCAGGTGGACTTATGATAGTGGCATTCATGCAAATGAAAAATTCATCATCATTCATGGTGTTGATATTATAGATGGTATCAGGTAATTCACTAATAGTGGTGTACACTTCTTCTTTGGATTCGGGAGAGTCTGGAGTAGACTGAGTTGTAGGTTCAGTTGATGCTTCAGCCAGATTGGCATGATGATTAGGATAATTTTATTAGGAGGATGTGTGTTCTGTTTGAGAAGAGGGCAAGTCAAGGATGAAGAATTAGTCAACCATTGCTTTACAGGATCATATTGCTCTATTATATGACTCTGCAGTCCACAGACATCACACTTCTTGCACAATGTATGTAGAGATGGTTTTGCCAGGTGCCACTGTGTGTTGAGATCAAGGATCTGATCAAGAAGATTGTCAAAACATGAAATCCACCATTGCCAAAGATTGGCTACAGTTATGGATAACCTCCTGTTGAACTGGAAGATACCAGTCACCATCCTCTGGTAGATTTCAAACAAAGTTCAGCAAGACATCAAAATAAATAATCAGGTATCTCTTCATGTGCAAGAAAAGAATGGTTGACTGCCACCTCTGCATAAAATTTGCCACATTGTGCATGTTAACAGTGTATGTACATAGAGCTTCTCATGCTGCATGCACCTGAACTGGCTGTCCTAACCCAAAATGCTTTTGCAAGATGTTAAGTAGTGTCTGAGCCATATATTCTTGCTCTGCACCACCATGGTTATCAACCATAGGAAGAACTGCAGATACATCAGCTGATAGCCTGAAAGTGAGGATATTGTGAGGTAAGACACTGTTGAGATTGGTGTTGCAACTGCAGCCTACTTATGCATGGAATTTTGCAGTCTGGCATGACACGCACACAGAGATATAGTGAGTGAGTGGACTAAAACAACACATAAACACTAATGCTATGTGGTGCAATGATGCGAAATATAACTTATGGTATAAGAAGCAATGAGATTCTAAACAGGACTTAGTCACAGCACTGTACCTGATGGGCATGCATGATGAGAAGGCCGAACCCTATACCCAATGCACTATGCTCTAACTTACAAGCATGCTCACAGGAGTTAGATGACACTTTGAAGGTTGCATTAGCACTGAAAGTACTTAGTGTGCTCACTAACTATGATGTGCTGTACCTGAAAATCCAGGGAAATCCTTACACAAGATGACAGATATCACTGGAGTGAACTTGAACAGTGGGTCTCAGCTGAAGTCCACAAGCCCACATTCCATTGTCTGGAGTCCCATTGTTCGAAGACTCACTTGTTGCTGTGTTGATGAGAAGCTTCTGTGAATCCAAGAAAGAAGTATTGAAGGACATATGTCAGAATTGATAGTTCCATATACTTAGACCTGTCGGTTGTTAGAGAGCAAGCCTGCGGGTGTCAGGAGAGCACCTCTTGGCACACGTTTAGTGAGCTCACTATAGAAATGAGACTAAAACTGGGGAGTCCAACTCAGATGCTCAGTAAGGTGGCAGTGGCAATGTGCTATGCATGTAGGAGTCTGGGTACTGCACAACATTTGTAATTATAAATTCCCTGTAGTATAAGTAGGATGGTTCCAGTAGATAGAAGCTAATTTTTGAGCCCCCAAGTTCCCGTGCATGCATTGAAGGCAGTACTGTAACAAAGGATCAGTTTGTGACTTCAAGCTTTGCATAGAATTAGCAAGCTCACTCAGAGAAATATGAGATACTCTTTTGATAAGACTTTCGAGAACTTGAAGTTCTGTTTCTGAATCTGGGTTCTGAGCGCTTCTGAAGTGTTCTTGAGTCGAGATAACCTGCTGGAGTTAGTTGAAGTACCCCTACATACAGTTGTGTAGCAAGTGGGCTAAGTCAGTGCTTGCCTGTGGTGTTCTTTTAGTGAGCTCACTATTGTTTTAATGTGTATCATCTCTGTTTCTGTCAGGATCAGTGTCTCTTGTGTATTTTAACTTGAATCTGTCTTGAAGGTTGCTTCGCACCAGTGAACAACCTTCCTGTAAAAGTTCTTAGACTTAGGAATTCATTAGAGAAAGCTTAGCTTTGCTAAGAGCATTGAGAATAAGAGAAACTTTTCAAGATATTGAAGTATAGTTAGATCACATTAGAAATAATTGCTCCTCCTAGAACTTACGAGGGTGATTGTAGTTTATGTAGTTGTGTGAGTGTGTGTGTGGGTTTTTGAGGTTCGCCTTTTAGCCCGCTCACTATTCCACAGGTGCCCACAGCCAGCCTCTTCATCGGTGAGAGACTTGATACCACAAATCCACAATACCCAGTTTGCCCTCCCTGTCAATTCCAGAATAGATGTAGTGCATGGAGTAGGAGTAGATATAGTAGAAGAATGAGAAGAAGTATATATAAAATAATTGTATGTATTCTGTATCAGTTGATGGTTTTCATTATTGTTGTAAAAGGGATTATTTGTATGATAGTTTGTTTGCTGTTGATTTGGAGAAGATTGTGAAGGTACAGTAGGGAAAAACATAGAAGAGACAGGAAATGGCAGTTGTGTTTGATTTATAGGTACATTAGGTTGTAGAACATTTGGTGTGGAATGAGATAGACAAAGAAAAGGATTAAAAAAAGACAAAGTACCAAAAGAAGACATAGAATCAAAAGCTGTAGGTAATGATGGACCAGACTGACCTTGAAAAGATGGGGAAAGGGCAGGTGGAGCACATGGCGAGTACAAGTCAGGCCAAGACTGTTGAAAGTGTTGGAATGAGAGATGTGATGTAGAGGCAGTTGATGGATGTGATGCAGAAGGATGAGATGGATATGGAGCCAGAGGTGCAGGGCACCAGAAACCATCAGGAGTGATGGACAGACACTGACTAGTAGGGAGAAGTGGTGGTGAAAACAGAATCTTGGGATGGGACACTTACCGGGTACAATATCCAGGCAAAGAACAAAAGGGAAACACCGTTGATACGCCTGGTATCAGGCTACCCATAGATTTTGCGATTTTACATCTGTTTATGCAATCTACAAGCGGTACAGAGAGCTACAGTGGAGGCTTCGCGCTGGTAGCTAAATACTACATAAAGAATGAAAGCACGGCAGTACAGAATGGACTTAGAAATGACGTCTCAAAGAGTCAATTCTACCAGCCGTCAACACGCCAAGCTAAGCCCCACCTAAACAAGACTATTACAGTCAAATCTCGGAGACTCATCTGTATGGAGTATAAAAACCAAGAAGTTGAAGAATGGAATGAACTAGATGCCTCGTCGCCTCGACAAGTAGAAAGAACCTGTCAAGAAAAATTGCTAAGTCGAGAAACAGATCAGCTTTCGAGATTAACTCAGGCTAGGAAAGGAATAACCTTGGAAGAATGAATAGCCGCGTTGGGTACCGAGATGACCGACCTTGATTGCGCAGTGATCAACAGAATATAATCTTGGACCTACAGTCGATCGCGATCAGTGGTTACATCCCCGAGATCCTGCGTGTACTGCAGTATTCCATACATATGGCGTGCGGCAAGCCTTGCAGATGGAAGAAGGAGCACCCACAGACTAGTAGGGCACTCCTCGGTGACAGAATAACCCAGCGCAGTCGCGTCAAACTGAATAGAAACTACGGAATGGCATGATACTTGTAGGATAGTGACTCACCATTTGTATTAATTCCAAAGCTCGTACCATAATTACTGTAGATACGGGCTCCTATACCTAGAACACAAATCATATAAATTAGCAGCAACTAGACGCATAACAGCAGGAAAGCATTCCCCCTGCGTTTGTGCTAGTAGCCTGTATAGCTACCTAATCAATCACTGGTTTTATTGCATATCCTCGACCGAAGTGAATTAAGTTACCAAAGTCAACCCATAAGGGCGACTACAGTAATCTAGAAGAATTAAGTAGGAAGTAGAGCCGTCCCCACGTTTGCACCTTGCTAGTTAATTGAACTGCTCCGCGGACAAAGGCCTCGTGTTCTCTCTCTCCAAGATTAGTGATCTAGACATGCTGAGTCGACTTTAAGTCAAAAGACCTCATCTAGTTGAAGTAAAATAAGCCCTAGAATGCTTTAAGTTCGAACAATCGTCAAGTTCAAGGAACTCCAGAGTCTGTGTACTCTTTGCAAGTCTTGTACTTGAAGTCAGAACCTGAGCATTCTTTGTAGAGTGATTTTGCACTCTTTGTAGACCTCGGAGTCTTTAGTTGTTTGATTATTTGAAGTGTCTGCTAGAAGC